ATATTTGAATGTGTGGTTCAATATGGTAATAGCAAAGAGTAATTAGTAGCAACAAGAAGAGGCTGCCCTTCCTTTTCTGGCTACACAGGGGCAAGTGGTTATAGATTATGACCATGAGTATTAGCTCATTACTAAAATATAGAAGGGAAGGCTTTTGGGCCGGTAGAGGTGAGCCACTCTAATGGCTAGAATGGCCATTTAACAATAAAAGGCAGTACAGTATCCTCCAGACTTTCTGACTTTCCTGTTCTTACCAATCAAGTGCTTTCACTTATTCTGCAAATTAAAAAGTCACATATGAAAGTTTAGTTTGTGTTGACTTGTTCCACATGTATTATTACTTTCCCTTTATAATGACAAGGGAAGAGATTGCTTTTTCTAGCAGATTTTGTTTCAAAAGGTTTTAATCTGTTGCAAACCACCTCTAGTGGTTTTTCTTTGGATGTGAGTATAAACCACTACAAATGGTAAATTTCATCCATCTATTAAAAATAACACTTATGTAACAACTGACTATAAGCACAACAATAAAAAGGATGTAAGTATTTATTTTATGTCAAACCTAGTTAGTGTGATCTTTAGTCATTTATTTTTGGAACAATTGTTAGATTCTTGGATAATTCAACTGTTAGCCCCATTGGGATCTACAGTACAAATCTGCTCAAATGACTCTTGAGTTTAGACATCAAGAAACAGTGAATTTTAATTATAATTTCACAGCCTACCTTCATTCTCAGTTTTCCAATCACTTCACACCCTCAACCAAGTTTACATAACCAAACTATGAAAAAAATACTAGAATTGTCATTATATTCACAAATACCCAAACTGTAATTATAGTTTACTGACAATTTTGATATTTTAGTACAATAATAACTTAGTACTGGCTAGGGCATGGATGCCAAAGCTAGTTATTCTGTGAAAGGCTGGTTACTTGACCTTTTGCAGGTATAGTTTAAATGAGGGCCACAGAATGATACATACTTTATGTGGCTGTTGTGGGAATTAAATATATATAATATACATATATATATTTAATTAATTATATATAAATGTATATAATGTATATATGTACATACATGTGTATAATAAATATATATTATACATATATATTTATATGTGTATATGTATAATTAGATCAATACTCAGTTTACAGGGAGTGTGAAGTGTTTGTTAATATTCTCTTTCAAAGGAAATGAGTCCCTCCCTGGTATACCACCATGTCTCCTTTTGTGCTATGCCACATGCCATCCTCCTCCTCCAAGAAGAGTGTGACATCACTCTTATCTATGGTAAAACTGAAATAGAAAAGAATCCAGGCATCTTAGCTCACTGTCCTAAGGAAGGGTTCACCTAAGGGACTATCATGGTTCCTGGGAATGGGATTTGAATTTTTTCTTCCATCTATTCAGCCAAGTGGATCATAATGTTCTAGACAACTAACTGGCTCCAAGTGGTTGGTTTAATTTCTTGGTGTTTGGCGACCTGTGGAAGCTGATGCAAAAAAAATTATCAGCAACTCCCAAAGGGCCTCTAAGTCAATATTTTGATGAGCTTTTCTGCTTCCACATTTTAAACTAAGTAAAATCAAAGACAATATCTCTTTTTTTTTCTGATAGTATTTCAGAAAATTAAAGTGCTTTGAAAATATTTACTGTGACTATCACGTTTCCAAAGATGCAAAATCATAAGGTCATAGCATCTAAACATTCATAATAAAAATTTCCTTGTTATTCTTTGTATGACTATCATAGCTCCTTAAAATATGATAGCTATCATCCAATTTGGGATAAGGAAATAATGCAGTTTATATTAAAAATATTTAATGTGTTATTAATGTTGTGTAAAGGTACTGCAAATCAGAAATGTTGTTATTAGTCAATTTCCTTATCCAGAGGTTACAAATAAGGCCATTAAACACGATATTCTTGATTTTATTTTAAGATGAACCATCGTTTCTATTAGGCAATTCCAAATTAATAAAAACATTGAACTATTAAACTGAAAAAAACACTAGAACACCCCTCTCCCCCTTTTAACACTATACAGGGCTTTTAAATAAATCAAGACACTTTGTACCCACATACATAACCCACAGAGTTTTGGACTTGCTTTGTCTGGATGTGAATTCTGTGATGAAAGAAGCTGTCCTGTGAACACATCACTAGAACTGGGACATGTAATGACTTGCTGGCCAGCATGCAGGCACCCTTTACTGGTGCATAACACCTTGGTTTTCCTCTATGAATTCACCCCCTCTCTGTTCTATGTCATTTTAGTTTGCATGAAACCCACTGCTACTTCCAGGCAAGGGCCATCAGACAGATCCATGTACCTATTTCCTAACTCCATCCCCCCAGTGGTCATTATGATTGGCTCTGAGATGGGTACATTTAACCAATAAGGGCCAATGACATTCAACCTTTGCTGGGGCTTCCAGGAAAGAGAAATTTCTGTTCTCTTCCAGGTGAGATTACTTTTAGAAAAGAACCTCCGCCTTTCCTTAGAATGAGACCTCTCTCCTTAGAACAAGTATTGGGAAAATGTGAGCATCCCTGTTGCTAAGAAAAGCAGAGAACCTGGAGCTGCTATGGGTGAGCGGGGAGGGCTTGGGGGTTACCACACATTGTGGCATCTGAAGTCAGCCTCAAGTGATGGAGAGACCTGAGCCTCAGTGTGAGTTTATGGATCAAGCTTCACCTAAACCTGTTAAAATTCTGAAGTTTTCCTTTAATATTTAAATCAGTCTGGATTGTTTTCTGTTATCAAAATAGAGTCATAACTAAGGCAAGCAAAATAGCCTAAACAAGATAAGAACCTTTGCCCTCAGAATGGTGTTCCTAAGGGCACAGTGGTGCTATAACCACCGACTGGGTGTGGGAAGGAAGTGGGCCAACACCAGGCTGTCAGCCAGTAAGAGAAGAGAAACTCGAGGATGACTTCATGGAAGTGCCAAGGATGAGAAGGAAAAGAAGAACCCAAAGATGCAGCTTGGGAGTTGGAGCTGTTCTTGCTTAGCACATAGAGGAGAGCCTGAGTTAGCATCAGGTTTTTAGAGTAATGGCTGGGTAATCAGGTATTCATATTATGAAAAGTTTTCTAGTTAAAAGAAGAATTGGTAGTTATTAAAAATTATAGTCTTCCTCTTCTTTTGGTGGGGTGGTGGTGGGAGGGTACCCAGGTGAACCCAGATGTGCTTAACCACTGAGCCATATCTACAGCCCATTTTATTTTTTGTTTTGAGACAGGGTCTCCTTAAGTTTCTCAGAGCTTCACTAAGTTGCTGACTGAGACTGGCTTGAATTCACGATCCCCCTGCCTCAGCCTCTCAAGTTGCTGGGATTATAAGCATGTACCACCATGCCTGGTACATGTTCAGTCTTGATTTTAATACTAGAACTCAGACATTTTCCATGAGTGTTCTCTTTTTCATAAATAATTGCTCTGCCTTGGTAAATGAAATTAAAAGGAAATAGAATGAAAACTCTGGGTCAGGGAAACATTTCTTTATCTTATTCATAGGGAAGAGAATATTCTTTCTTTATCCATTCTGAACTTAGAAAACTTTTTTCTATATAATACTGAAATATTTAACAATGCATAAAACCATAAGCATTTATATTAAAATACAATTTTAAATACATCCCTGTAATTTTCACCAGGAACTTTGTAAAATATAATGAAAATACATGCATGGATATTAAATCAAGAAAGACCACTCAAAAATTCAAATGGAAATGCAGCATTACATACAATATAATAAATATCCAGGATATCAAATCTGCAAATTGATCATTACTCTGACTTAGATTCTTTTATCGAGTTAAGACTTGCTATATAATTTATTATAATAACCTTACAAATTAAACATAACTAATGTGAAAAGAGAATTCAATTAATCTGACTACTGAAATAACACAATCCCCAATATTTTGCAACATATTTTAATCTATAACGTATAAAACTGTCATTTTGGCAAGAAATACACATCCATATAACTAATTATTCAATTACCTTCTTTTTCAATGTTAAAAATAATCAGAAATAATAGTATGAAAAGAAACAGGCTAATCTTAATTCTGAGATAATCTTATTGCCTCAGCTCTTAGGCTTTGGCAATAAATGTCTTACATTTTAATATGTCATATAACTTAAATACCATATTTACAAAATATAAAACTCTGTTAGCAAAATACTATACAAAATACTGACTTTACACATTTAAAGGGTGCTTTTCATTGTAATATATGAGAGCCCTTTATATTTTTACCTATGCTGTATTCCCACCTGTTTTCAGATTCTCCCTCTCCCAGGATCTCTGTGCTGAGTTGTTAACAGAGGAAACTGGTCTATAATAAAATTATGACTCTCAAGATCAAAGATTGTCGTATACCATATAGAGGTTTTTCTAAACAAATTCTCCTGGTTAAAAGGCACTTAAAATCCAATTAATACATTTTACTTTTTTACAGTTTGACTCTTTGTCACTAAATGTCTCCAAGGAACACTTTTTAGGGATATTGTGTTACTTATGAAGATTTTTTTTTTCTATTGCCCTTCTTTTGAAGTACACGAAAGGGTCATTAGGCACCAACCACTCAGTTTAACTTTTCAACGTCTGTCTATGCACAAACACTTAGTAACATTTCTTCAATTAAAATACTAAGAATAAATGAGATTCATGTTTACCACTCCTGGTTGCCATAGAGATGTCTGTAAAAAAAAAAAAAGACTGCTGTTCACCCACCATTACTGATTTCCATAACTGAGTTCCATAGTTGAGGATCTTTTCCTGAGTATGGACCAGGTCTCCAGTGTGAGGGTTCTTTCTTGTTGAGGAAACAGATTTATCTTCCTTGTATGTCAATATACATCCTCCAAACCACTCACAGATGAATGCAAACCTTTTCAACTTCAAAATCCCAAGAAATCCATAATCAATGTGTAATTGGATGTCAGTCAGGTAAAGGAAATCTCAGAGGGGCTCAAGGATCTGGGAGTGTAGGAGTCACCTTGGCCAGCACTGTACCAGGAGAGGTACCCTTTGGCTGCAACCCCATTGTTTGTTGCTGAGTCTTGCAGGAGGCTGGAGAGAGCAGTTACTTACAAGTGTGGACGTCAGTCATGCTCTCACACCTTCTGCAGCGGACATAACAGCACCAGATGAATTTGCACTCACACCTCTCCACGTGCCTGACCACATGAGTGTTGTAGCCTCGGCCACAGCACAGGAGGTTGCAACCATCTGCACCCTCTGATGTACGATTGCATTCTCTGCCTTGTGTCCCTGGGATCCCCAGCTTTTTATCTTCCACACAGTAGTTGGGAGACTTATTAACATAGAGCAGGTCATCCTTACGGATTGGTATTTTCCTCTGATCTTTTTCTCTCCTGCGCATTTTCCTCTTTATTTTGTCTGATACCTGGATACTGTTTTCATATTTATCCTTTAACCAATGGCCAATCTTTTCAAAAGAAGACATGGTTTTCCAGCATGTTTTCACAGCACAGGAACCAGAAACTCCATGGCAGCGGCAGTCTACTGACATCAACTTGGCGACCGCCTGAAACCAACAGTAATTGTGTTTAAATGTCAGAAACACAGCTAACTGAATTACTTAACTTTCTGGGTCTGTTTCCTCCTATTAAACAAACAAAAAAAAATGACAGCTTTGAAACTAAAGGATCTTTAACGATTATCTAGGGTTCAAATGTTTTTAGTTTTGTCCAAATGTCTCAATCTTCAGAGCAAATCCAAGTTGCATTTAAAGTAGTAGTAGGCCAGACTATTGTTGTCAGAGATTATCAGAGATACCAAAGGAAAATTATTTTTATTACTAATCCCTTACTCAAATTTGTGGGAGGATGCTCATGAATGCCTGCATGTTCTTGGTACCAGTGAATACATTGCTATTCACAGTGTAATTCATGACCAGCAGCCCCAGCATGCCATATGAGAAATTCAAGCCTTACTCCAGAACTACAGAATCAAAAGCTCCAATTTAATAAGACCCCATATGATTCTTATGCACATTTAAGTTTGAGAAGCACTGATAAAGCAGATGCCCTCAACTTGCACAGTACATTAATGGGGACTCTACAAATAAACCTTGCTCAAACCCTTGAGATTATGACTTAATTGGTTGGCACAAGCTGCTCAAATGATGCTAACTGCAGCCAGTGATGACATCTATTGTTCCAGTTGAAAGTCTTAGGTTTGACCACTATAAAAGTTAGATATGTTAATGTAGGGTAGGGTGGGGAAGGAATAGGGAGAATCCCCTGGTCACAGGACACATGAGAAACCTTGACTAATCAAGTTAAGTTGGTCAAAAGGAGAATGAGCTATAGAGTATGGATGCTTCCAGCAAACCCTTCCTCTTTTCTGGAAAATTAATCCAAAACATATGTCCTATTCCTAGTGGATCAGTAGCACTATCCTAACAGCAAAAACAGAAAAAGGATAATGTTTTTGTAATTTTTCATTTCTAAGTGGGGCGTTTATGCAGAAATTCCACTTTATGGAGAGGAATTAAATGAGATGACACATAAATTTGTAATAACCCATGAGTTGGGTGTATATTAAGTTCTAAATGTCTCCTTTTTCTGAAGAACAAGTTACAGTAAGAGTTAAGATAAAAAGCTTCAATGGACCTAATAATGCAAAAACAATAAAAGATTTTAGAAATTTAGGACTCTAAACTCTTATATACCAGGCTCGCCAGCATAGCTTCCTTCAATCCCCAGATGATGGCAGAGCAGATTAATAAATCGTCAGCACTAGCTGTAGAGTTGACATTCTGTCAACATGCTGGGCAAAATGAAAAATGGATCCAGCCATTCAATTACTTGGAAATTATGTATGTAATTTCACCAAAGAAAGGGGAAAAAAAAAACAGCACAGTTTAAATTCTGCTTGCAGTTCTTATCAAAACTATAAAATGACAAGGGTGTATACTTTGCTAGTTTGTATTAAACCCAATATTGACATATTTATGGAATTACATTTTCTAACACATTAAGAAAGTTTTCTGTACTATCTAGTGATGCAGAATATTCCAAACAACTAAGATTAATTTTCAGCTTTCAGTGAAAGCATATGATATTGATTTGTACAATGTTTGTTACTTCTTAGTCTTGTTTAAAAATAATCAACATAATAATATTTAAACTCCGTTCTTTATAGAATATGGCACATATACTCCTTTTGAAATCATGAAACTGAAAAACTAATTAATGTATCTATTTCTTATTAAACTAAGGCAAAATATGCCCTCCACTGATATAAGAGAAATATATGAAATATGGCACAAAGGCTTACTTGGTTTAATTTATGGCATTTGATATTCACAAAACCCTCAATTCATTAAGACACCACTAGGCAAAGAAATGATCAAATTAATGTGATCTGTCTGTCTTTGTCCAGATTTTAAGTGCCTGAAGGGTTTGAGAAAACGAGGTCAGTCAGTCTTAGGTAATAACAAATTATCCAAGAAAGGCAAAAACCTAAGAAAGTATGATTATGTGCTTAAGCCTGATCAACATTCCTTATAGTCCTCACTTAGTGATTTAAAGCTGGCTTTTCCTCTGGATCATGACTGGAGGAGCTGACTTGTCCTATTATTAACTGGTTCAGACATCATGGAAGGAGTTGCCGACCAGCAAAGCACGGAGGACAGAGTAGATGCTCATCAAATACTTATTGACTAATTAGTCCCGCTCACTCAAGCAGTTTTAATCCATCCTCGGTTGGTAACCCGAACCAGAGGATGTAATAAAAATCACCTTCATAAACAAAAAAACTGACTGCCCCAGGGCCAGGGGTACTAGGACACCTTCAGTCAGCTGGACTATCCACCAATTCTTTCACTCTAGCCCTGTCCACAACAAGATTAGTCCACAAAAATGACATGGTGCTTCCCAGGTTTGAAAAATAAAAAGAGATTTTCAAATTCAATTTTTTCAACCTCTGAATTTCTATCTGAGTTTTGGGAGAATTTTTCTACTCTAGAAAACCAACCCTTTTAAATACCTGAAGTTTATAATTTGCCAGTAACATTTTTTTTAGTTTTATTCCATTACTTTTGAATTGTAAGTGGTTCTAACAATAAGAAATCATATTTTTATCATCTATATGACATATTTTTCTTAGAATCTGTGTATATAAGTGAACTTCAAAGAGAAGAATTCCAATAACTTGACATGCAATTTGAATGACTATACCCTTATAATACTTCAAGGGTAGACCTTGTCCAAATGTGAATTAAAATAAACCCATATAATCACACTCAGAATTTTATGAAATTCAGAGTTTGGGGGCAGATAAACACACACAAGTTAGCTCTACAGAATTTAGCATTTCTCATAGCACATTTTCACAGACAGTTTTACTTCATTTAGTTTTTATAGGAAGAAATGCTTTGTACCTAGTAGGCATTTAGTGAATAGGTATTTTGTTAAAATTCCAATTTTATAGAAAAAGAAACAGCACAAATACTTGTCTTATATAAGTTGATGATTTGTGATATAAGATCTTTATACACAGCAAGATAATTTTAGTAGAACAGAGAAAAATTAAAGTGGATAAAGCAAGTATATTTAAGGAGATTGTATGAACACTGCAAAAATTTTTTAAAAAGTATATTCTAGATCTTTTCCTTTCAGGTTCCTAATTAACGTTAAATAGTCATTCTGAGTTACAGTGATAGCTCCATCATTTTCTGGTAACGGGAAAAGTAAGAGAATAGCAAACCGAATGAGTTGTGTGTGGTTATGAGAAAATTCCTTTCTCTACTCTAGTTGAATTGTTAAGGTTTATAACGATATTAACAGAGGAATGTTTTGTTAACTATTGCAAACAGATGTGCACATTTTGGTGGAACATTTTTAGACCATGGGAGAGCAATTAGGAGGGTGGCATTTAATATACTGTATTCCTCATGTCAGTTTTGGTTTGATCAATTTCTAATGAAGTGAAATAGGAAAGATGTATCATTGGTACTTAAGGTAAAAATAGAAACAGCTTAAGAAGTGGTTTAAGGACTGATTGGTCCCACAATTTGGACTCAGAGGTAATGCAGCAGGCGAAGATTGTTTTCCAGTATAGTACATTATTCAAACTTTATAGGAATGGCCAGAAAATTGTTGTGGAACATTTTGTGACTTAACATTTCATTTCGTCAATCATCAAATGATCTGTTTAAGTTTTTTATGAAAACTGCGACATGAGATTGGATGGGTGGGTGTAGGATTCCTACTCCTTTGATCCATTTTGTCTCTTTTGGTTCAAAAATATATTTGAACCTGCTGAAAAGCAAAACGCTTACGTGTTGTTCAACTACTTATAAATATTCCTGAAACAGGTCAATGAAAATTTGGGGCTGGCCCTTCCCACTTTGTTGAGTTACTCATCATAAAACAAATTATGGGGTAGAGAAACTTAAAAGTTTATGAGGTGGACATGGTAAGAATGGAAATATTTTAAGCACACCAAAAGAAATACCCATAAATATTCCAAGTCACATTATTCCCAGAAGTTCTGCCCCTGGAAGACATCACATCATTCTGCTAGCCAATCACTATTCGGCAACATTATTCTTGGAGTTATAACTTTAGGAATGGTGTCAGAAACCAAGTGGGAATCAGAGTATTTAAGGTCAGCGGTTAGAAAATCATCTATCCTGCTCATAGCACTACTAAGCGCCAGTACCCACATTTTTCTGAACGCTTTCCTACATTTCGAGTTTGGGATTTTGAGACTAAAAAAATCAACTCAATTGAATGCAGACCTTGAACTTCACTCAGACGAATATGCCTAGTAGATTAAAATCCTAATTGCCAGTATTGAAAATTGAGTCGATTGCTCTTACATGTTAGCTAATACCCTGGAAACCTGTTCCTTGGAGAGTTTTTTGTTTTGTTTTGTTTTTCTTTTGGGGGATTTTTTTTTCTTTTTTTGGCTACCAATGGAAAGAAAAATACAAAATGTTTTGAATTATAATACCTCATGAGGGAAAGACCAACAAAAACATTACTGTAGCACTTTCAAAATAACCAGGTAAATATTTTGTAATATTTTTAAGATTCCATTTAGAATAACGTGAAAAAAAAAAAAGTTTCCATAGGGAAAACTCTGAAATTTGTACAAAAAGTATATATGCACATAGGCTGAATTATTTTTTCCCTAGACAGAATAATAGCAGAAAATCTATGTACTATGAGAAAATTGATTTTTGCTAATAAGTAATGGATTAAAGTCCAAGTTGAATAGCTCTTTTTTTAAATAAAATCAGAAAGGAAATAAAAGTTTAATACTAACAGTTACAGAGGAAACTATTGCTATCTAATTTTAAAATAAAACTAAATAGTTGAGATAAAATAAATCTAAATAGTTGCATAATGTTACTTTGAAAAATGCATTTTAGAATGATTTAGGGCTTTTCATAAATTCAGAGACTGCTTTATTTGAGAAAACTAATCATAACATGAGCTCCTACGTTTTGGTTTTCCAGTTAAAATTTTTAAATCACTACCAGATTATTTAAAGAAAGGCTAAAGAAGATATAAGTTCTATGTTGGTAATAAACTTTCATTTAATTGTTTTCTTGTTTTATAATACATGTTTATTTTATATAACTTGATAGCTTTCTTTTGTTTAACTCTAGAGTTTAAAAGAACGTATGTTATTTACATTTACCATCTTTTATATTACTATGTTAGAAATTATAAGTATTTCTTCATTGGATAATATTTAAATTGAAGCAACATTTTCTAAAAATTTTAAGGGAAAGAGTACTACATAACTACATATTAGGCAAGAGTTATTTAAGTGAGGTAAAATAATTTTTAATTGTTTAAATAAAAATATGGAAAGCTTATATAACTACTGATTTCTTTTTTTACTATTTTGTTATTTTGAAATTAATATTAAAATTGCTTGAAAATTTAAATTTGAATGTTTAAATTTACTGAGTTTGCGGTTTTTGTATTTTAAACCAAGGCAGTTAACTAAATTGGCTAGAACTCACAACCATTCTGAATGAGTCCCAGTATTTACTTGCCAAAAATATAAAACAAATGCAACATATATTTTAAATATTCCTAAGAGATACTTCAACTTTCTTTAATTTACTTCAGGAGAATGTGGTAGATTGCAATGGCTACTCTGGGACCTTTATAGGTTATTGCTTATTTACAATAATATACAAGATGTGTGGATAGTCCTGTCTTAAAAAGTTTATTATGATGTAGAAAATACATACTCATAAAAAAGTTACAACCAGAAAAGTCACTATGAATTGCCAACTAATTCAACTATGTTGTAGAACTCAAACTTTATTGAATCAATATTCAATAATATAATTATACCTAAGTTAAATTAAGCTACACATATACACATTTTAAGAAAACAAAGTAAAAAATCAGAAATTATAAAAGAAGTTAATTAAGTGATTGTTCTTCAAATTTCCCTCCTCTCAATCTACTTTGAATATAGCTACGTTTTAAAATAGCCAAACATTTAATATAACTATAACTTCCTAATACTTATCTGAATTTATGATTTTTAAAAACAAACCTAAATATCTTTAAAACAAAATATCCATTTTATTTAAAAAAGAAAACTTTGCTTTGCAAAAAATATGATAGTAGTTGTTTACTTCCCAAGAATGTTTGTTCAAGAAATTAAGAACACAACTGACAGCATGTTTCAGAACCACTGAACAGAAAAATATTGGATTTACAGACACATAATCAAAATTCAAATTTGGGAAAATAATATTTGATTCAGTACCATTAGAAAAGCAGATACCATAAGTCTTATTCTGGCTTTGCCATTAACTTCCTAAGGGGGTGGAGCCAGTAATACAACACGTACTTGTACAATGGTTATTTCATAATTAATGTTTCAGAGTGCAACATATACTAATACATTGTATTACAAGATTCAACTCACATTAGATGTAGAACCTAATAGAATCAATGTGGTCAGTACACACTCTTTAAGGAATATGAGTGCCTGTGGATATATATATGTGTGTATATTTAAATGTGTGTGTTTATGTGCTGTCAGTGCTCAGTGTTTAAATCATTTAGATGGATTCATCCAGAAGTGTAATCCTAGTGTTATTTACATAAAAACATTGGATTTGTATTTCATTTTCTTATACATACCTGCCTCCCAGCTTCACTGTTATGTAGGTTCATTGTTAGCAGTACTTTGCTTTCTTTTCCAGTGGTGTTTCTGATGGGGAAGTCCAGGAACTTTCTGCTGAACCACATGCCATACTGAACATCATCAGAACAGCCTCCCCAGTGCCAGCCTTCACTTGCTGAGCCACCATTCTGCAGGGTGGTATCACAGGAACATTCTGTCATGTTGCCTGCACTGCATGACCTGGTCACAGAGTGCACCAGGCCTGCCGCCATCACAGCATAAATAAATGCTGTCTCCTTAGTGCCTAGAATAAAACATAAATTGCCTAATTAGAAAGCCATGTCACTTTTTGTTTATGTTCGCAACAAAGGCTCCCACTCATCCTCTTACCAGGCAAGTAATTTTTCAATAGCTTATAAAGGATGCTTACTGTGTACGTATTTAGAAAGGAAGATTTCTATTGTTTCAGCCTTTAAAACAGCAACATTAATTTTCAGTATCCCACTTGAGGGGACTTTCATACATTGTAATGCCACACATTATCTTCATACCTTAAAATCGTATTTAAGCTTAGTGTTCAATAACACAGGTCAAATTTAAATTCCTTTGCATGGATTCTGTGAATCTAAAATACTCACAGGAAATCAGAGAAGGAAAGGAAAACATATTTTTAAATTTAAAATATGCTGCATTCACAAAACACATGCTGAAAAAATGTAATATGATTTTTGTTTGAGTAAATAATATTCTTCAGAATGCAAATTAAAATTAAGCCAAGATCAAGATGATTAATAGATAAATGTTACAGTTTACTTTCATGCTAAAAACTAGATTTTAAAAAATCCCTGATAGTAATAAAAAACAGTTAACATTTTACATAGTACAACTCTTACAGTTATAAAGGTAATGAAAAGTAAGATAATTGAAATGTCACTAGCAAAAAAAAAAAAAAAAAAAAAATTTTACCAAAAAAAAAAAAAAAAAAAAAAAAGTTCTTACCAAAAAGTATCCTATAATGAAATAGTTGTATTTAGCAGTCCTAAAGTAGAGTTTGATCTAAAATCTTTGAAAATTAAAGTTCTATTAAAACATTAATAAGGTGAACTAGAAGGGACTCAGCAGGGCGACATTTTTTTTTTCCTTTCCAGATGTTTAGATTGGAATAGAAACAGTTTCACGCCCGTTGTCCAAGAAACCTTTTCAACAGCTAAAGCTTCTGCATTTCAGCAACTGTGAAAAACACTTTTTGTTTTTCTTTTTCCTTTTCTTTCTTCTTCTTCTCTCCCCCAGCTCCCACCTACAGGGATCTGGGCTCCCTCAGAAGGGTGCGCGAGCTAAAACTTTAAGGCAGAAAAGCATTGCTTTGGCAACAGAGTGTGTGTGGACCCTGCGGGAAAGGGTCAAAGGTGGGGAGAGAAGGGAAATGAACCCGAAAAACGACAATGCATCTTTCAGCGACCCGATCCTAAAATTCTTTGAATCTATTAATATTCCAGGAACAATCCTGGCTCTCTGCACCTTTATCCTTACCAAGACACTACACACGTGGAAAGAGAACTTGACTTTATTGCAGCGTCCCCTGTCGCGGGAGTGCGCTGAGGAAGGGAGAGCGAGAAGGAAAGGAAAACAGGGGAGACAGCTAACGTAGTGGTGCTCAGGTTAGCCGCGCTTCGGGTGGTCGGGGACAGGCCCTTTAAAATCCTCCTCCTGCGGTCCACCCAGTGCTCGGAGGAGTCGACAAACGTGGGGCTTCGCTTGGGTTAGCCACTTGTCCAGGGCTCGGTGAGCTGCAGAGCCGGTTAAATAAAAGCAGATGCGGCTGCAGCATTCCCCGCTGCCGACATCATGTTTCTCCAGCTGGTCACTCAAGTAGGGGGGCGCTTCGGGGTCCGAGGGGGTCGGCGGGGAAGGAGAGTCAAGAGTTTTTCTGCAACTCTAGCGTGGCGCCTCGGGAAGGAGGAAAAGCCACTGCCCCTAGCGCCCCGGCTCTGTACCTGGGAAGTCCCCCCTCCTCCAGTATCGCACCTGCACCCGGAGTCTGGCCTCTGTCGCTCCCGGTTCCCTGCACTAAAAGCCTTTTTCAAGATTTAGAGAGCCACGAGACCACTCTAACATTATTTGCTTTATTTGAAGTAAATGACAGAGGAGTTGTCGCCTTGTGTTCCCTGCCATTCCCAAGGGTCCTGGACTCACCGCTGGTCAATTCGTAGCCAAAGAGGGGGCTGGTGCCGAGCGGGGCAGCGGCGGCGGCATTGGCGGTGGCGACCATGCAGTTCCATCTCTCGTGTTTGAACTGGCTCCTGCACTCCTGAATGCCCAGCCGGGCGCCCTCGCGGATGCTGGGCAGCAGGTAGGGTTTCCTCTTGCACAGCTCCTTCTGGCGGCTGTTCAGTGGCAAGTTGGCGCAGCCCAGCTTCTCCGGAACCCCAAAGGAGGCGATGCCCAACCACCTGTAAGACACGGCCGCCCCTAGCGTAAGCCGCTCCCCTGCCCTCCTCCTCAATCCCAGATGTTTTCCCCAAAATTAGGTCACCCTCTCTAGGGTCTCCGCCCCTCCTCTCCTGGCCTCAGTTGAATGTTCTGGGGGTTGGGCACCTTTTCTAACCACATAACCCGGGTACCTCTGCTGCCCCCATACTCACATCCAGTTTCCTTGAACTCCGCAGGGGAACAGCGCAAACAGGACTGCCCACAGTGCGCACAGGCGGGGCAGCGCCAGGAGTGTCGCTCTGTCCATGGCCCCCGCATGGAGTCCCCCAGCCCCGACCACTCCTCTTCTGCCCCACTTCTCCAGAGATTCGAAGGGCCGGAGGTCAGTTCCTCAGCACCACGTTGTTCGTCGCCCTCTTCCTCCTTGCAGAGAGCATAAAAAGGCAGCCAACAATGATAGGGATCTCACAAGCCCCAAGGCCCCTTGCAGTATGAGAAGGTGGAAGAAGTTCTTTGGGGCCCTCCTGCTCAGAGTTGGAGATGTGCTGGAGATGCGAGAAAGTCCCTCACATTCCAAGGTGTGAAACTTATGTTGATGTCTCTGCGTCTCCATCGCCCCCCGGCTTCTCTTCTCATCCCCTCCCCCTGACCGCGCCTGGCTCCTGATTGGCCCAGTAGCGGCCCCGCATCTCATCATCCCGAAACCTCAGGATCCTATTGGCTGACTGCGGGTTCGGCGGGGGGCGCTCTGGACCCGCGGCTCCGGGAGAGTCTGTCCAGACTAGGGGGTGTCATAACCTTTCCTCTGGTTCCAGCTTCCAAATCGCTTCGGGATTGATTCAACCCAAAGACTGACAGGGCTCTTTTGTCTTGGCAACCCAGGATATATTGTGGGTTTGATGGGAGACGTTTTGCCTTCCACCCTAAGGGCTTCTGGATTACCCTCTGGATTGAGTGGCTGGAAAATCTCTCTGCCTCTTTTTCTTTCCTTGCTTTTCCTTCAATTCCCAGAAGAATAGTCTTTTTAAGTCAGAGTTGGTACCAAACAAGTTGACGGTCCAATCCCCTATTAAGTCCCCAGGTCTTAAATGCCAGGGGACTTTAGTGGATGGGTAAGAGACCGTCTGGTTTATGCTCTTCCACCATTTATGTATACTTTTATTTTTAGCGAAAGGGTGGATTCTATTCTACCACATTTAAATTGTGCTGTGATTTCCTTTTCTCTATTTGTCTTGTTTCCTGCACTGTCTGTCCCAAGTGAAAATGAAGGGAAGAGAAGTAAGTAATAGTTGTCTGGAGAACTCTAGAACAGATAAGGGTATGTTCTTATCCTTCTCTTCAGACTCACGTTTGCTCTTGTGAAAACCTTGGACTGGGCTACACACCCGAAACAACAACAGCAAAAACCTACTGTGTTCCAGTCCTATGGGAATTTATAAGGCAAGATTCCTTCTCTCGAGAATATGAGCCAGTCATTCAGAGAAATCTTAAACAAAATAATTTGAGATAATCAGAAATGAAGAATATAGAAGTTAGCAGGATACTCTTTGGGGCCAAAGGTACAGGCAGCTGAATGTTTTGGCAGCTGGTAGTTTTGGATGGTTAGTTAACCCAGTGTTTTGTAGAAAGAAAGGTCTGTGGGACAACTCTGAAGACCAGAGGAATATACTTAGCTGTGGTGCCAGAAAGCTCTGTCTCACTCAGACACAAGAAATGCTTCTGAGATGTATCACTTGCTCCCCAGACATTTCTGAAAGGCTATCAAACACTCAAGGTGGACATATCAGCTCAGTGGGTACCCCAAAGGAGACTCACATTAAAGGCTTTGATAATGATTGCTGCTTGTTCTCAGTATCCAATAGGGTAGAGCATCAAAAGCCATTGAAATTTCCATTCTGTCCCATTCACTGCTTTATCCAACAAACATTTATTGAGTGTACACCATGTACCCGGTCCTAAAGCCACATTGTAATTTTTTTGAGAGTCAAGTTGATGATAGGTTATAGCTACTGATCCAGAAATATTTTGGCTAATGACTAGTGGCTTCTCTGAAAATCAGAACCTCCCTCCAGCTCTCTTTATTCTGTGAGCTTCCTCAAGAGAGACCATGTCATTGGACCCAATACCTGACATCCTGGTTTAAGTACAATTTATTGAGTGAATTAGCATGATGAGGAACATCTTGAGTAGATACCTAAGTGGCCTAAATGTGGGAACTAGAGAAGTTTCTTCCTTACAAAGATAATTGGAGGGGGTGCCATTTCTGCATTTCAGGAACTGTGTAAAGAACATCAATTGCATTCTGTGATTTCAGGGCCAGTAGCGTTAAATGTTTTAAAGAGGTTGTTTATTTTTTTTCCATTCAAAAATACATAATGAGGGGATGAGGATGTAGCTCAGTGGTAAAGCACTTGACTAGCAGGCATGAGGCCCTAGGTTCAATCCTCAGCACTGCAAAAAGAATTTTCCATAATGGGTTACAATACAATGCAATAAATGTTGGAAGTATAACACATATAGATTATTTAATCCAGTCTTGGCCAGAGGAATAGCCACTTGCAAGTTTTCTTCCTTGTTATTCTAGGGGCCCAGTCCTGTCCATACATCTAGATAAAGCCTTTGGAGGAACAAAGTATACTTTTCTTAGAATCTAAGCCCACTGGATCAAACAATTTCAAATCCAAGGCACATTTTCAGGGCCTTAGTGGTCCTGTACCTCTATGGTCTAGGGATTAGGGGTCATTGTGTTCATACTTCTAAAGCAAAGGAAACAAATTCATAGGACTTGACCAGGCTGAATAAGCAGGTTTTTGTTCAATGAACAGATATTTGAGTTCTCATTTGGGGCCAGACACTGTAAATTCTCATGACTGAGAGCCTGCCATCCTCTCAGATTCTCTCTTGCACTTATTCTCTCCCCACCACTTACCTCTCTATCTTTCTCCTTCCTTCTCCAATGTTCCAACCTTTCCCCCAACAGTTGATGCTGATTTTATAGATGAGGAATGCAATTTGAGAAGATTAAGAAGTTTGACCAAGCTCACTCAGTTAGAAAGTAGTAGAGTCAAAAATCTTATTTCAGAGGCCCTGTTCTGTCCACCATAACATACTGCTACATAACCTAATTCAAAACCACAATTAATTTTTCCCCTGACAAATCCCAGATCACTAGAATCTAGGATCCAAACTTCTCATTGTGTTCCATAATTCCTTACATCATAGTCCATAGTTATCTCTGTTGAAAAAGTTTTGTTTTTCTGAAGATAAACGAAACCCATAATAAGTAAGTACCCTGAGGAGTTCTCTATGAAGTGGGTCTTTGCGGGTAGGTAGCAGTCTGCATGAATGCCTTTCCATTTTCCTTCTTTCTACTGTCTGTGGGTTTTGTGGGCTGAGAGGAGCCATGGAAAGAGCACAGGGGTGGGTTGGGTGACTGCAGCTCTGGTCAACAGGTGATAGATTATCTTGGGTAACTTTTTTCTACTTCATGTCTTGGTTTTCTCATCTGTAGAATTATCAAAACTCTCTTTCAGTTATGAATCTCTTTAGAGTACTCATAGGACTGGAGTGGAGAAGGTGGTATGTGTGGTTACATGTGGTTCCAAGTGCAGGGGCAGAGGGAAAAATGCATTGCCAGGGGATTCCAGGAGGACAAAACCCTAGCCACAGTTGGGCTTATCTGCCTGAGAGATGGGCGTGTCCCCAGAGGAGCACAGGCTTCAGGGTTTTAGCCCCCCTTCTGTGTCTTCAGCTCCATGTTTGCTTTGGTATTTCAATGAAAGTGAGTTATTTTAATTGCAGATCTCTTTTTAAAGGGCCAAATTATAATGTTATAATCTTATCAGATCATATGATGGAAAACAAGACATGACAGATATTTTATTTATCCTGGAATATGAAAGTGAGGAGCTCTTTCATAATCTAATTTATATCTATTTATGCAAAGTAGTTCATCTCAGCAGTGAACATTATGCTATTTAGACTGGAGCAGTAAAGTAAACCGGTAGGTTAAATATAAACATACACAAATCTCCAGATTTCAAATTGCTTATTTCTTTAGCCACAAGTAGGAGCTTCATTTCCTATTTAATGTTTTTGGTTTTATAATTTGGAGGAAGAACAATTTTAACTGAATAATAGAATGTGATCTGATATTTGACTGTGCTAGGCAAGCTTTCTAAGTTTGAGATGCCAATCTATATTTTAAAAAAATTTTAAAGACTTTGCCATTAGTTGTTCAAGAAGGGGGCTAATTTTATGTCATCTCATGATCTGAATTCAGCTACCCAAAATTTGATTAATGCTATTAAGAATAGCACCATGTAACTCCAGGTTTGTACGGATTACTGAAGCATCTCTAATTTCTTGATCCCACAAGGAGGAAATATTCTTGAACTTGTTTTCCTAGCAGGGGGAAGGTGTTTTGAGTTATCCTCTGGAAAGAGGATTTAAGAAAGGAAGAGCCAGATTTCAAGCATATTCATTTCACACAAAGAAGCTCTCTGGAGAGACTGTGAATCTGTGACTGTGGTCATCTCTGACCAGCTGAGGTAACTGAACCAGATAAGTAGCTGGCTGGCAATAAATCCCAGCTCCCACCAAAGATGGTTGTAGATTACTAGTTGTGGGAGCCAGGGAGCCTGTTCCTTCTGGGAGTTTTCTCTCAGCCCCTGGGAAACTCAGCAAAAAGTCTTCCTGGGCAGATATGCCTTGGACTGTGCCTCTGGCAACCCATCAGAGGACAAGACTTCTAAGGGCCCTGTTGTAAGAATTTCTGCTGCAGATCACAGAGACTTATGTGCTGGAAACTGATACCAGCAGCACCCCAGCTGGTCTTAACTCCCATGATAGAACAGAAGACCAGAGGTGACTTTTGACATAACTGGGTCTCCATCCATTCTATTTTAAATTCCACCTGGATGCTGCAAGTATGAAACAGAGCACAGGCTTGTGATCACCGGCTCTCAGGGGAGAGTGAGGTGGAGAACAACATTCTGGATGCCATGCAGTTCTTTGGTAGCCCCCAAAGCCCATAAGAATGACAGGCTCAGGGGAGCAGAGGATACAACAGCTATAGAAGTTCCCAAAGCTATAAAAGTTGAAAGATTTTTATTTACTTGTCTTAGAATTTAAAGTTGAAGAAACTTCATAAAGCACTGACACAAAGTGGTTTATCCCGAGAGTAATATCTCTCTGCCACTTTACTTTAAAAAAAAAAAAAAATTAAGTTGAAGAAAAAATCCAAAATCTAGGGTAAAAAGGGGCACATCGCTAGCTGCATTTATAGGCATTATGCAGTTTTCTTGGAATAAAGGAACAAAAGTGACAACAATGTTTAGCAAACA